GAGATCAAGGTCTCCCTTCCTGGGCTTTATGCTGGACTTGCAAGGCCACTATGCCTTATGCTCTCCTCTGAGTGAGGATGATAGTTCTGCTTTCACAGCCTTGTTATGATGGCAGGAGGTCAGGTATACAAGATGCTTGGCACACAGAAGGAGCTTTAGTGCAAACAAAGTTTAGTAGGGTCACTGATGAACAAATGCACACATACAACCCACATCAAAAATGGGAATATAAAGTCAGAGAACATGGGTTGTGTAAGGGTTCAGAGTGGTTCCTGGATCCAAATTCCTGTTTTATAGATGGAGAAAGAGATGTTCAGATAAACTAGATTATTTGCTTAAGCACACATTGCTAGCCACTCCACAGCATTCCCTATCATGTGACTTCCACACTATATTAACATAAGCAGCCTAACTCAGAAATTTCTCTGCCTCTCTTTTCCAACATCTTCCTTTTCTATCTGCTCTGTGCTAGCCACTGTGAGAGACTGGAAACAAGATGCTGGTACCACAGATCCCCTAGCCGCATTGTGGTTTTCAGATTCCCTGGGTGGGGGGTGAAGGATGAATTGGTCTGTCATTAACATCAAGGAAATTCAGGCTCAAAGATGAAGCTAAACTGGTGGGGATTCAAGTAGGAGTCTGGACAGGAAGACTGAGCTTACACCTTTGCCTTAAATTCCTGAAAGTCATAGAAACTGCATTTGCCCCTTCGGTGTAGAATGCTCATCTCTACTTTCTAGTGGTGTTGAGCCCAGGAATGCAATTGTGATGTAGTGTTTGCAGTGGAGCAAGCACTCGGAGTTGGCTGATGTTTTTTGGGAAGAAGCAATGTTGGCATCCGAACCATTGGGAAGGACATCTGGTTCCGTTCCTTGGAGAAACTTCCTTGTACGACAGCGGTTTCTTTGCCTTCCAGGAGCAGCTCTAGCACACTTACCACTAGAAGACTCAAAGTTGTTTAATATTTTATTCAACAATGACCTTGTCCTCCTATTGCTCTCAACATGGCGCCTTACCATATGGAATCAGTGGCTCTGAGGCCACCTGGATTTGCTTGAAAATTCACAAGCAGTGCATCTGCTCGCTTCTCTCCCTCTTTCTTTTAAGAGAAACTGACGTCTCCACCCCACAGTTATTTCTCGGGTTGGTTTCTGATTAGTAAGCAGCCCTTTTGGGTGTCTAAGCTGTTCTTTAGACCCGTTCTTCAACAGCTCCACAGGCTTGTTCATATTGCAGCAGCAACACCTACCATGTCCTTTATAGTGATGTATGACTTTATTAAAGCCCTTGTATTTTCTGTTCAGATTTCTAAACGGTTGATTCGGATGCCTTTTATAACTTAATTTTTGCCAGAGATTTTGCTAAAGGGATCAGCCTGCGTTTTTCTGGCTTCTTAATTGCAAATCTTCGTTGGGACTCTGTTGGGTTGAAATGGAACAGACAGGTCACTGCCCCTAGTCCAGTTTCTCCAGATTCTACAAATCAAAGTCACCACATTGATAAAGTATTTCAATCTTACTTTCAGCAAAGAGTTAAGAGGAAAAGCCTTCCAGCATCTCATTTCACTCACACACACAGCCCATTAGAACCTGCATAAACAAGGCTGACAAGTTGAGATTAATGAGAGTCCCCAAGTGACAAAACAACTTAATTTTCAGAAATTGTAGGAGTTGAACTTTACCAGTGTATTTATATATGAGACAGCCACAGTCAAAAAATTTCCCTAATTGATTATGACCAATAAGTAATAACTTGGAAAACAGTTTTCTGGTATACAAATAACAAATGACTCATAATAGTTAATTGAGGTATTAAGATGCATAAGGGAAGAATATTAGATTGACTAGATAAATGATTCATAATGCAAGGTAAATAATTGGTGAGTTCATACTCCTAAGCAGAATACAGCTCATAAGCAACACTAAGAGTACATCAAATAAAGGGAATTGTGTTTGCTAAATGACCTCTCTGCTAATTGAGTGTTGTAGCTATATTGCCTTCAGGCTCCACTAGATCCCTGCTTTCAGCTAAAGTAGTTCTCTCATAGTTCTGTCCAAGAAGAATTCTCACCTTGGATCTCACAAGCTTATGAGATTACAGGGTGAGGTTCTGTAGAGTGGCTCATGCTAAAATTGGTCTGATTATGGCTGAACCAGGAGTATGGCACCTGACTTTGGATTTCAAGACTAGGTCTCTGACCATAGACCCAGTTGTGGGGGTGCGAGACACCTTGTGTAAGGGCTCTTATCACTATCCATATTGTGGCTTGAACTGATTCACAGATAACAACAGTTGCTTTACATTACACTCCTGTGAGCACCAACAAATATACACACACTTAGGCAGGCTATAGCATATAAATGTGCTCTCACATTTCATCTGCTTAATGCCTTTGCTCTTTGGAGTACCTCAAATAGATATAGTCAACAATTTGAAGAGATGGGAGCAGATGCAGTGCAGATGCTCAGAGGGAGTAGGTGCAGGAGACAAGGAAAAGAGACCAATAGCTCATGGAAACTTTCTCAGGCCAGATATGCCAGCCAACAACACCATGTTCCCAACCTTTACATATATATCAGTCAACAATACCATGTTCCCAGCCCTTTAATATATGCTGGTCAGCAACATCACACTCACAACCCTTACATATATACCAGTCAACAATGCCTTGTTCCCAAGACTTACATATATACCAGTCAACAATGCCTTGTTCCCAGGACTTACATATATACCAGTCAACAACACCATGTTCCCCAATCCTTATTTCAGGTTTCAAGAAAAGACACACGAGAGGAAGGAGATGAAAAGATGAAGAAGGACAATAATTGGGGGATATATAAAGGAAGAGAAGAGAAGTGAGAGGAGAGGAGAGAGGAAAAGAAGTAGGTAATTTACTGCGTATGTTAGTAACAGGGAATGGATCTAGAGCTACTTTCTGGTTAAGGGAGAAGCACTTACACTCCTTAGTATGTAAAATGGGGGAAGTAGTAGAAGCTTCTTGTATGAATGGTTGACTTTAAATGAGTTTGTACAAAACATGTTATCGGAGAAAATTCCTGGCACACAGTAACCAAGGTACAAGGGCTGCCATGACTCCTGTGGTATTAGAGGTGTTGAGTCCTCTGAGGGTAGGTAGAGTGAGTTCATTGATACAACAGCAAACAAAAGTCCTCAAAGTTCATCTTCTCCCATAGGTTACAACTCTTCCCTCTCTGACTAAAGCATTTAAGATAAAAACAAACAAACAATTTAAGAGTCTAGATCTCTTGTAGTCATTGTCTGTTTTCCTAGAATTTACCCAATGGAGATTTCAGTGGGTGCTGTAGAGCATCTGCATATTTAGAGGGACACTAGAATTTCTTGAATGGAATTCTACCCCCAAATCCTGTAATTTAATTGGTTTTAAATTATAGGACATGAAGTTTTGAAATTCTTCCAAACCATTTTACATTTCTTCTAAATGCCTTTTTGAAGCCTTCTCTGCTGATGGAGCATGGGCGGGGGTTACCTTCTCCACTGGCAAACTGATTTATACTCCTTAGTTTCACTGCAGTTTAGTTAAAACACCCTCTTCCATTGTTTCAGGTCAGGGACAAGCAGTCCTTGTTGAGTATCCACCATACCCTTTGTATGCTCCACGGTGTCATTTAATCCCACCCCAAACCTTGAGACATAGAAGATACTCCATATTCAGATGAAGTCTGTAGCATCTACGTGTGAGCTGTGATTCACGCTCTCTTCCCCGGGACCTTCCTTTGCGAATTGTGCCTCATTCACTTAAGCGGCAGCCCTTTCCTTCCACCTTGTTTGAGACAGGCTCTCTTGCTCCCAGCTGCATGTGCCGGTGTCTGATATTCTCCTGGCTCCCCCTCCCCTTGTATCGTAAGAGTGATAATGGACAGCATACGTCTGCCACCAAGTGTCCAGCTTTACATGAATTCTGGATACCCAAACTTTGATTCTTGAGTTTGGGTGGCAAGTGCTTTATCTGGTGACCAAGGCATCTCCCCAGTTCCAAGTCCAGTTTTTGATAACTAAAAAAGAACTTTATCATCAATGCTAGAATTTAATTTTGTGGTTGTTTGAGACAGGATTTAAGGTTAATAGGTGAATTAATTTAAATACAGCAATGGTTTTCTATTCTTTTTTTCTTTGTTTTTTTTTTTTTTCCGAGATTGGGTTTCTCTGCGTTGCTTTGGAATCTGTCCTGGAACTTACTCTGTAGACCAGGCTGGCTTCGAACTCACAGAGATCTGCCTGCCTCTGTCTCTCGAGTGCTGGGATTAAAGGTGTGTGCCACCAATGCCTGGTGGTTTTCTATTGTTTTGTCTGAAAAAAAATAAAAGCAAGGGTCAGAGCCTGGCATTAACAAAATTGGGATATACTCACATAAAGATTCTTTTAATTGTCCGAGGAAGGCTTTATGAATTTTAGTATGGTCTCTGGATTTAGAAACAGCCCTGGGCTCTACTCCTGATGGATTGGTCCAGCAACTTCTTCTAGCAGAGTCATGCTGTCTGTATGTCTCTCCTGTTCCAGACCACCAGGGCTCACTTTCCTTGATAGTAGCATAGATCAGACATCGGTCATCTAAATGGAGTCAACTCTGGCAGGGTTTGTTTTAGCAGGAAAACCTAACCCAAGCCACCCCAGATCCCAAACTCCTGCCCCACTGACTCTGCACTCCTCTTTCCTTTAGTGTAACAGCTTCTGACTTCAGGGAGATACTTTGCTTGTTTTCTATCTATCTTTGTTTTCTCTTCCTTATACTGGAAGCTCTAGTCTGGATTTGCCCTTTTTCACTTATGTGTTCCAAACGCCCAGAGTATTTCTGTTTTATAAAGGTCAAATGAAACCATAAAAACTAAAAAACTTGGATTTTTCAGCAAACCACCTTTCCCCATGGATAATTCGACCTCTGTAAGGAAATTCTTTTGATGACATTCTTCACATTATCTTGGAGTTAGCTACAATCAGCTATGATTTGTTTTTTCTTTTAGGCTGTCTTCATGTCTGCCTTTCAAATTTTCATTCCAAGACGCTACCTGGTTTTATTGTGCATACAGTGAAACAAATTTTGAAATTTTGACTTTGAGATGTCAGCCCCATAGAGGATGTCTTGTCAGCATTGTCTGTCCATCGTATTTCAAAGACAAGGAAGACATCAGCGTGTCACGTGATGGTCACAAGCCCATGGCTGTGCTGCTGCCTAGTGGGTGGCATTTGGAGGAGACACGTAAATGCTGATGGTTGACTTCCTGGCAAATTCTTGTTGCCCTCTGCCACCCTGCCCTACCACCTTGGCTATCGGTTATGTATGCTGTCCTTGTGACCACAGAGAAGGCGATTCTTCAGATCTCATCAGCATTTTCCCTCTTCCCTTCACTAATATAATTTCCAAGATGAACGCTAAAGTTTAGGTGACCCTCACAGTGAAAGCCCCAACTAGATTCCGACACTTGGCTTAATAAGCCCGGAGCAATTCTTTATGAGCTTTGCTTCTCAGAATGCTTGAAAAATTATCCAGTTAGTGTTCCCGCAGCCTCCATCTATGAGTTCATTGGGAAACTATGCATAAGATACTTTGGAAATAAACATACACAAGAAGTTGCAGTTCTGTTTGAATGACCCTATACCTTGGAATGTCTGTAACTGTGAGAATTATAAGACCAAGAAATATGTTCAGGCTGCTGGCTTGAATAGTTACTATTCCTTATATGGAATCCTTACAGACAGGAAGAAAACTTGTATAAACTAAATAGGAATTTTTTCCCCAGCCACTCATGGGCCTCATCCTTGACCTATTTCATTTATAGTTTCCAACACTCTTCCTGCTGTGGGAGTGCCAACTCGTATAGACACTTTGGAAATCAGTATGGAGATTCCTCAGGAAAATGGGAATCAGTCTACCACAAGATCCGGCAATTCCACTCTTAGGCATATATGCAAAAGATACCCATTCATACAACAAGGTTGTCTGTTCCATTATGTTCATAGCAGCATTATTTGTAATAGCCAGAACCTGGAAGCAACCTAGATGCCCATCAACTGAAGAGTGGATAGAGAAAATGTGGTACATTTACACAATGGAGTACTACTCAGTGGAAAAAAAAAACAATGGAATCTTGAAATTTGCTGGCAAATGGATGGCACTAGAAGAAAGCATCCTGAGTGAGGTAACCCAGTCACAAAAAGACAAACATGGTATGTACTCACTCATATATGGATTTTAGGCCTGAAACAGGGAGTGCCAGCCTACAATCTCCAGCCAGAAAGTCTAGGAAACAGAGAGGACCCTAGGAGAGATATGCATGGCAACCCAGAGAAGGGGAACAGGACAGAATCTTCTGAGGTGATTGGGAGCATGAGGGAGAGTGGGTGATGAATCTGGAAGAAAGAGAGAGGGTAAAGAGGAGGAGAGAGGAGGACATGGGGGAGCAGGAAAGTTGAGTTGGGGGAAGAATAGAGGAGACAAGGATGAGAAATGCCATAATAGAAGGAGCCATTATAGGTCTGAAGAGAGATCTGGCACTAGTGAGATGTCCAGAGACCTACAAGGATGACACCAACTGGCAAGCTAGCTAATAGTGGAGAGGCTACATTAAATGCCCTTCCCTGTAACGTGATTGAAGACTTCCCTGTGTGCCATTCTAGAGCCTTCATCCAGTGGCTGAAGGAAGCAGAGGCAGACACCCACAGCTAAACACTGAATTGAACCCCTGGAACCCAGAGAGGGAGGAGTGATGAGCAAAGGGGTTACGACTTGGTGGGTGAGACCCACAGAATCAGCTGACCTGAACAAGGGGGAGCTTATAGACCCCAGACTGATAGCTGAGAGTCCAGCATGGGACTGATCCAGACCCCCTGAAGGTGGGTGTCAGTGAGGAGGTCTCAGCATCCTTTGGGTCCTCAGGCAATAAATCAGCATTTAGCCCTGTCAGCCAGATGGACTTTGGGAGCCCATTCCGTGTGGAGGGATGCTGTCTCCGCCTGGACACATGGGGGGAGGACCTGGGCCCTGCCCCAGATCATATGACAGACTTTCAAGATCCCCAAGAAGGGCCTTAAGCTCCTTAGAGAGTGGAGTGTGGATTGGGGAAGAGGTTGGGGGAGGGTTGAAGGGGGGCAGGGGAGGAGGGGAGGGAGAGGGAGCTAGGGTTGACATGTGAAGCAAATTTGTTTCTAATTTAAATTAAATTAAAAAATAAATTAAAAAAGATATTGTGCCATGAAAAGTTCATTGCTTTCCTGATGGGCTTCCAATAGTCGTCTTCAGAACATCTAATGCTTTTGATGGACCCTGGTTATATTAAAAAAGAGCCACGTATAGGCTCTGACACGCATGAGCATATCACAGCTAGTCCTCAGCCTGTCAGTCAGGCAGTGATTCGGGGTCTGGCTGAAGTGCCCTGTGTGCACTGTATTCATTATTGTTTAGAATTGAAAACATGGACATTCATAAACGCTTGAGCAAGTTCTACAAAAAAAAAGGAGTCCAGTGGGTTCAGAAAAGGACCTGTCTGCATACAGCCTACTTAATTTTTTCTTCTTTTTCTTGATATTGGAATAAATGAAGGAACAAGTTAGGAGCCTCCAGCTGCATGGAGAGCTCTATTTAAGAGGAGTAATTATCCTTTGACACACAACATGGCTGCAAAGGCAGCCGCTGAGCCGTCTCTCCAGGGCCAGTGTGTCTACTTTAGCTGTGTGGCAGGAAGCTCCAAAGCTTTTCTGTGCACTTCTGCTGCTCTGTGGGTCTTTCTAGCCCCATTCTTACAGGGGATTGAAGTACTTTGATCCCCAGTGAGGTATTTTGTTGCCAAAATAAACATACACATTATATTAGGATAGGCTAGAGAAAGGGGTGGCAAATGACTTCAAATATTGGCTTACAAGCCCAATGGTGGAAGAAGAAAGTATGAACATTCCTATTTTCCCTGTGAGCACTATCATCTGTTACAATGTCTTTGATACCACTCAGGCTCCGGTGATCTTAATGGTGGTAAACATGATTTTTCTAGTCCCTTCTATCACTGATGGCAAAGCTTCTAGCTTTTTCTCTTTGAAGAAACTAATACTCAGATGATATTAATATTTCCAATTTTAGCAGAGCCAGCTTGAACATTTCCTAATGCTAATGTGTGACGAGTCTAAGCATCATAGCTAAATCTAATCTTTCATTACTGTTGATGCCCATCTCTGTTCTCGGGGTTCATTTGCTGACTTTCTGTAAAGTTCAGTTTTTGTTACATGTCTGATCAAGCTTAACAATCATCTCCTATATTATATTATCCAAAGTAATGTTTGTTTATGAGCTTAGAGTCATATTTATTAACATCCATGATTAACTGAAAATTGCCCCATGTGGTATTTCAATCCACAAATGTGTTTTGATTAGAGAAGGGACAATTATTCCATTTGCATTTGATTCTAACACAAATGCTATAATTTTCAACTCTCTTAGTCAAAGAGACACTAGGAAAGAAAAGGCCTCAGAAAAGAGGCACATGAGCTGCTGTCTTCGGATCATTTAGTCCCTGGTTTAATTTATTTTCCTTTGTAGCATATCTCTATGAAATAGTTTTCAGAATGGATAATTACCATAATTGTTCACATACTCTCCTAGGTAGCATGGGGGCATTATCTATTAAGCTGCAAACACTGATCACTGTGAATGTTCCAGCATATTCCATCCTCTTTAGGACTGTCTGTCTGACTATTTAGATTTAATACTCAACAGGTATTATGCATGAAGAACCTAGTAAATAAGAAAAACATGTTTTTAAAAGATGACTTATGTTCTTCTTAATTCCTAGACTTTTCTTTGAAGCTCCATGATTTGAGCTATATCCTCAGGTTGGCCATTGTCTAATGGAACAGAATTTAGCTTTCACAGATGGCCTGGACACACAGCAAGGATTCTGTCTGAATGCCTGATGCCACTGGAGTCTGGTATCTGATTTTCCTGAACTCGGGCTGAATGATGAGTGGCTCAAGGTGGTCCTTAAATCACTGTTGCCTCAGTAGAGAGATCAATGGACTCCCTCGGTATGTCTGGACTGCCAGCCTGGTCAGACCTCTGATACAGGCCACTGCTAGGAAGCCATCATGGACTTAGTCTTTCTCCAGGAGAGAAGAACCCAATGGAGCCCCAAATCTTGAGTATACTAGGAGATTTTGAAGAGGATCGGTGGGTTACTTTTTTATACGCAATTCGAAATGAAAACGTACATATGGTGACTTGACTTTTGTTGTTGAAGCCAAATAGACACTGATGTTTTTGTTCTATTATTTTTTAGGCTGTGTTTCACAGAATGATAGAAGGGTACCAGTAACGGATACTCTCTGCAACACAGGTTGGATGCAAGGAGGAGCGAACACATTAGAAAATGAATGAACCATCTGAACACATGTGTAATCCTAGACTTGATACACTCATTTCAAGCGTCTGTGCTTTAGACGCTTCATTACTCTGTTCAATTAGTTGCACCAAACATTTTTCTCTAATTTTCTAAAACCTTTCAATGCACCAGAAACACCTCCTCGATGTTTCTTTTGGTCAATTAAATCTGCATAGAACCCCTGTTTTGAGCCAGAATGCCAACATTAATAAATCAGCGGCTTCAAATTGAATAAATCTATTTAAATACTTATAAAATATTAAGGATGCATTTGGGAAAAGCCTCTAAGGTTATTGTGGCACCCATACACCTCACAGTAACTAATTTATTAAGCAGTTTGCAAACCTGGGAAGAAAGGAAAAAGAAAAATGGTTTCATAAACCAAGAGCAGAAGCCAATTTTTCAGCTCAGATGATGAAAGGAAGCATGCATTTCTAATCAAAAAGACAGATAAGCCTTCTCTCTCCCGCCATTCCCTCACCAGCAAAGTGCCTTTTCATCATCAGCAACCTTCCATTCCTAATGGCTGCCTGGGCCTTTCCGCACCTTCTCCACACTGGTAATGTACACACAGCATCCCTTTGAAACAAGAGCCCATTAGCTGTGGCATACTACCTTTTCACATGGCGTTCTTCTGTTGCAAGCCATCAGTGCAGTGTTAAATCATCCCCACTGGGCATGCCCAGAACCCTATCAGAGGGATAAACTGATATTTAGAGCCATAGCATGAAAATTGCTTTTCATCCCCCTTGAAGGACAGTTTAAAAAAATGAAAGGAAAGAGAGAAAGGTCAGAGACTAGGTAGGTACTGCCAAGCTCGTTCTTGTGCTTCCAGAGTGTTCGTCCAGAGGATTTCTTTGGATTTTCCTTTGAGAGCCTCATGCATGCCATGCTGGTCTTTGGGGCAGAGTAGGGTCATGATCCACATATCTCTATTGTTTGGTATTTCAGGTCCTCTGCACTCTAACATCCAGTACTTCCTGTGTCTTCTGAGGAGTCAATAGATGTTTGTATTAATGACGGCTGTCATTGCCAACAAGGGAAGCTCTGCAATATGACCTGTCTGTTAGTACTCTCCACGTCACCATACACAGTGCTGTTGATAGAAGCTGTCCTGCATGTTAGAAGAGACTCATATCTCCTTAGTCCAAACATTTGTCACTTGCCACCCTAAAAGGGGGTCTGCTTGTCCTTCCCATTCTCCCTACATAGTCTTATTGAACATGAACAGAGATGTAACAATGCCACTAATAACTGAGTTCGTTTTAAAACAACCTATGTTATAGGAATGGTTGTAAATAGGGATTAAAGAGCTTATAACATGTATTTCTCTAAAACCTGTATGACTGGTATTAACAAACTTATGCTAACCCTAGCTGTGGTTTCAGCTACACTCACTCACCAGGCATATGCCAGGTAACAAATGCTGGCATGGCTTGAGAGTGATGGTCTTCAAGGACCAACAGATGGGACAGAAACAAAAGGATGGTTTATTAGCAATAACTCATATTTCGTTTTATGCAGGGTTAAAGGGAGGAGATGCTGGATTCC